CACACAGACACACACACAGACACAATCACACACACACACACACACACACACACACACACACACACACACACACAATCACACAGACACACACACAGACACAATCACACACACACACACACACACACACACACACACACACACACACACACAATCACACAGACACACACACAGACACAATCACACACACACACACACACACACAGACACACACACACACACACACACAGCAAAGTCAAACCTGGAAGCAGGAACTGGTCCCGTTCAGTCTTCTTATGAAACCTGATGCTGAAGACCACGCCCACTCTTCATCATCATCATCATCATCATCATCATCCTCCTCTGATGAAGGCTGTTGGTTGATTGTGTTTGTGGTTGTTTGTTGCTCTGACTGTTCACTGCAGAACATGAAGGACAGAAAACAACCAATCAGAACCTGAGACCTGCTGGTCCATCTGAACCAGAACCAGAACACTAGTCTGACTTAGTCTGAGCTCTGGACTTAACCAGAACCTCCAGATTCTGCAGAACCTCTGACCCTGTCCCCTCAACCAGTTTGTTGACGAGATAAAACAAGCCCCGCCCCCTCACCTGTCCTCCTCTGCGTCATCAAACTGACCGGGTACTCGCGCCATCTCCGCCATGACGTCACGGCCACAGACACCTGAGGGAACAGGGACCTGGACCCAGTCTGCCCCGGTTCCACCTGATCCGAACCGAAGCGCTGCCCTCACCCTCAGCACCTCGTGTCGCCTCGGTTCACTTCCGGGTGAGAGCACGTGACTACGGAGCGCCTCGTGGCTCACAGCGCGAAGCTTCCGGCATCACAGAGAACATCCGACCCGTTCCGAAGAGTTCCACAACCGTTTTAACGGGACCGCACTGCCGAACCTCTGGATCCGGTCCACCTGGGGTGGTACCGGAACTCAGAACCAAAAGAAGAAGAACCAGTTCCGGTTTTGTTAAGATGTGTGCGGACCTTAGTTGGACCAACCGGACCCTGTTGGTCTGCGATCGGTCCAGTTTCCTGGACCACAAGAACCGGGTCAGCTCTCAGGTGGAGCAGCTGCACTTCACCTACAAGGTAAGGGACGCGCAGGCGCACGAGAGTCTGAAGGAGAATATGTCGTCATCACGAGATGACGAGTTCTGGTTCTGGTTCTGCTTCAGTCAGTAAACATGGAGACGGCCTGGTCCCATCAGCTGGTGAAAGATAAAGTTTATTACATCATCAGATCAGTGTTAACCCTCCTGTTGTCTTCGGGTCAAAATGACCCGCCACTGTGTTAAACCCCCCCAAAAAATCCCCTAAATGTTATTTTTTTAACTTGAGATTTTAAGACTTTGCCTAGATTGGCCAAAACAATAGAAAAAGTT